TTTGTTTTGTAATTTTGAGGTGTTCAGTTTTATTTTGGTTTTAGAAAATAAACGTGATTGCTCTCCTCACAAATCAACTCTCTTGTTTTTGTTTCATGCTCTCTGTGCCTTGCCCTGGACTTTTATGTCACTTCCTGTCTCCCGTGGAGTTTGTAGTCAGTTAGTCTGTTTGTTAATTGGTTCCCCTTGATTAGTCTCCCCAGGTGTGTCTTATCTTGTTAAGCTTGTTAGCCCCGTGTATATATAGCCCTAGTTTTTCTTTAGTTCCTTGTTATATGTGGTTGTCTGTTTGCCAGTCATTCTGTTCTTTGTTCCCTTTGGTTTTTTGTCTTACTGTTTGTTCTAGTTTTCTATGAAATACCAGCACATAGATCCTTGCCTCTGCCTGTTTTGCGCAGCTTCTCCACAACGTTACAGTTTTTGACTGGCATATCTTTGACTAGTGCATCTTTGAGCCTATATTTAGTATAGTATTTAAGTAAAATACTTAAGTACTTGTAACGTGTAGTGGAGTAATGTTCACTGTAAGGTATCTGTACTTTTACTCAAGTATGGTTTTTAGGTACTCTTTACACCTCTGATCTACGGTAGGAAACTTACAAAATATCTTCATGGAACATGATCTTTACTTAATATCCTAATGATGTTTGGCATAAAAGTAAAATAGATCATTTTGACCCATACAATGTATTGTTGGCTATTGCTACAAATATACCCCAGCTTAAGACTGATTTTGTGCTCCAGGGTCACATATCAGAATGATTTCTAAAGGATCATGTTACACTGAAGACTGGAGTAATGATGCTGAAATTTCAGCTTTGCCATCAAAGGAATAAATTACTTATATATATATATATATATATATATATATACACACACACACACACACACAGTATATATTAAAATAGAACTGTATTTTTGATCAAATAAATGCAGCCTTTGTGAGCATAAATCACTTATTTCAAAAATATTTTTTAAAAATCTTACCAACCCCAAACTTTTGATCAGTAGCGTAAACAGCTTTGAGTGAAATATTCCTTTTAATTGAACAGTTTCAGAGAGAAGCATGCAGATATGAATTCTGAACATTTCTCCTTGAAGCGCAAGATTCTGTTAAAAACAAACTGAATACAAATTAATGTTAAATTAAAGAGATTAAAACATGCAAGAGTAGAGCAGATTTCTCACTTTTAACCTAAAAATAGTTACCACCACTCCACCACAAATATCCCACCAAAGACCACCGAATGAAACACACACCAAATGTTACACCCACAGCACCACAGCTACACTAGACATGCTACAAATCTAGAAACGCTGCACACTGCAAGACAATGCGCAAGGCGACACGGCCTTGCAAGTACATCCAACACACACACACACACACACACACACACACACACACAAAACCACAACCAGCAGGATCCTCACCCTCCAACTCTGTGTACTGACACTGCAATAACCTTTAAAAATTTACTTATGTGGTACTATGGTATCAAACAGTAATTTCATGGTACTACGTGATCTCCATATTTATATACAACATTGTTATCATTAACTAAAACTATTACAAACTATTTGTTAATTGAAAAAGCTAAGGTAAAATAAAATATAATTATTAGATGAAAAACAAACTATCGAAAATTAGAAATGCTGACTGACTGAAGTATTAAAATTACAAAATAAACTAAAACTGTAACACAACTAAATTCAAACTATTTAGAAATATATAAAAAAAGCAATTAAATGACAAAAGCACAAACAAAACTCAAAACTTAAAATAAAAACTGTACATATAAATATAAAATCTAATTCAAAATATTAATAAAAACTATAATAGTATATAACATGCTACAACAACGCTGAGAATAAATGGTGTTACGGTAGTTGATATTGAATACTTTTGGGGAAATTGTTATACAATATCTTCATGGAACATGATCTTTACTTAATATCCTAATGATGTTTGGCATAAAAGTAAAATAGATCATTTTGACCCATACAATGTATTGTTGGCTATTGCTACAAATATACCCCAGCTTAAGACTGATTTTGTGCTCCAGGGTCACATATCAGAATGATTTCTAAAGGATCATGTTACACTGAAGACTGGAGTAATGATGCTGAAATTTCAGCTTTGCCATCAAAGGAATAAATTACTTATATATATATATATATATATATATATAATATAAACAATAGAAAAGTTATTTTAAATTAAAATTATTTCACAATACTTTGGTTTTTACTGTATTATTTGTATTTTTTTTATTTTTTGATCAAATAAATGAAGCCTTGGAGAGCATAAAAGACTTTTAAAAAATCTTAGTCTTATATAACTGAGATTTCAGTTTTATACATGCACATTTGAACGGAGCCCAAAAAAAAGTTCATTCTGACAGCTATAGTAAAGTGGTAACATCTGGATGAGCTGATGACATGACAAGGTCAATATGGACACGGGAAGGGCAGCTCTCACCTCTGCATGATCTCATCCTGGAACAGTGACTTGTTCAGCAAGGTGAGGGTGGGCAATTCCAGGAAGTGCACCCCACCACCTTCAGTGCCCAGAGCAAGAAGATCACAGCTCAGCTTCAACAGCATGACGGTCACACGTGTCGCACTACACAGGAGAAGCAGCAACAAAGGTCATGGTTTGGACAAGATGATAAAGGGCATCACTAAGCTAATTTAGGGAAATGCAACCAGAATAAGGAACAAAACCTTACCTGGTGCTCTCGATGCCTGGCCTGCCAGGCAGGCTGAAGCTGTGAACCTCCACCAAATGTGATCGGTTTTCTCTCTGCACAATCTCCCATAGGTGAATGGTGTTATCATCCAACAAAGAAAGTATCCTCCCCTATAAACAGAAAAACAAACAAACATATAATTTGGTTTAAAGACACAACTGTTCAAATGGCAACTTTCAAAATAAAAGCCCTCTACAACTTCAATTAAACACAAACCAACACCTAATAAGCTACAATGATTGAAACATGATCTTACCTGTCCATAGAGAAAGTGTATCTGAGTGACGGCAGCAGTGTCTTTATGAAGTCCAGTCATCTCCACCCCAGGAGCCCCATATCTTAATGCGCAGTCAAGGGAAAAAGCTTCAGACTAGGCTTTCATAATCGATTATTGAGTCAATTATATTTTCAATTGATCAAATATTCATTCTTACTGTCTTCAAACAGCATGCAAACTGAAGTCTTTATAAATGCTCACTATACACACACTGTGCATATAAAGTAATGACTTTTTTGTTTGTTTGTTTATTGAGGGGGCAATGTTGGCTCACTTCAAGAAAAATAAGAAATGATTTAACAACTGAAATTTTAATTAAGTGTGTAAAGAGACCTGGGTTCAGACCTCACCCAAACATTTTTTATTTAACTTTTTAAATAAAAACCTTATATTTTTATTTTAAAACTTATTTACTCATTTAACTTATTTAATATCTATACGTTTATAAAAAAAATAGTATTTTTCAGTTTATTTTAATATTTAATAATAAATACTTTCGGGCATGCATTTTCGTTATATTGTCATTGTTTTTTGGATTCATTTGGAAAGGGTTGGACTGGACATCATGATTCTGAACACAGGCCATCTCTCTCTGCAAACTTGCTCGTGAGGCAGGGTAGGTACATCTGATTCAGACTAATGAGAAGAGATGCAGTCATGGTGCGAGGGGAGCACAGGACACACTGTCAGCTCCACTGAGTCCAGAACAAAAGCTCAGACTGTGTGGCACTGCCTCACGTCACCCTGCCACCTCACACGCAGTGCTCTGAGAGCCACTTCAGCTGCTGCCTAATCAAGCCCATAATGTCTTACACAACCAGGCTCTTGAAACAGCACCCCAGACGAACTGCTCCATTCTGAAGTCCCCTTGGTTGTCATGGCAGCATCTCGATAATGTCACACAGGAGCAGGCATACTGTTATTTGCGGAAGGGGCACATACGCTACGCCCCAAAAAAAACGCTACACAATGAAAGGCTCAAAAGCTGGGAAACAGTTAACATCTTACACCAATTATGCATAACAACTTGAAAGGTCATGTTAACATCTTAGACAATGTTGTTCATCAGATAATGGTCATAAATGGTTTATGTAACTTAAACAATTTTTGCCTGCATAAAACCTCTTTACCAGAAAAAGTAATGCAAATGTGGTTTTTGCATATTTTTTTAAAAAGGGCTAATTCACCCAAAAATAAAAATTCTGTCATTAATTACTCACCCTCATGTAGTTCCAACCCGTAGTTATGATATGAATTTTTAAAATACCGCAATACCGGTGTATGTCGCTTAAACAACGTTCGGAACACGACACTGTTTGAAAGGGGTCCCTTTTCACTAGTGCACTGTGGTGAGGGAACAGCTGTATGTGTTACTAAGCGTGAAAGTTCCAAAACTGAAGCTGTAGAACTAATAGAACGTGATGACACAGAAGAAATCATCCACAATATCCACATTGACCGCCACAAATATCCACGGCCCCCTGCCATCAGCTCTCGCGTCTCTCACACACGAGCACGACTTTAGCAACTTTCAGACCCTTTTAGCGGCTTTTTTCTATAGAATATTCATACTGACAAACCTAGCGACTTTTTTGTATAAACCTTAGCTATGGTTCAGTTGGAAGATTTTTTTTTCAGTGCTGTCCCGTGAATGCGAGGTCTGACTTTCCCGGAGAAGTGTCACCTCTCTCGGCGTCTGTTCTGTGCAGTGAGTGGCAGAGAAGCAGCGCATTCAGTTGGCCGCACCGCAGCTGACTCATCAATAAATGAGTACAAAACAGCGTTTCCTAGCACCTGTCGCTTACTTATTGTTTGGAATTAAAAATATGAGCATAGTTCGTCTGTTAATATCACATGCACTTTTTTGTTTGTTGTTTTTTTTAGTTTGTTACTCAGACGCAGGCAGTGCGCTGCATGAGACAAAAACGTAATATAGCCAAAACAACCGCATAGCTGCTCTTTAGTGTAGATGCATGTTGATTTTATCAGACGATGCCGCGATTATAAATGAGAGTGACTCCTGGTTAACATGTATTAAAAGGGGTCGTGTTTAGTCACTATTTAGTGTGGTATTTTTTGACAATATTCACTCATCATGACAGGAAAATAGGGCATTCTAAGTCAATATACTGCAGTATTTCCTCTCTCAATCAGTAGAAAATATGGTTAACACCCGGTCATGCATGAAAAAAAAAAAATACCGTCATGTACCGTGAAACCGGTATGATTTTGAAAAATACCTTGATATACATTTTTGGTCATAACACCCAGCACTACACTGATGTCACATGGACTATTTTAACAATGTCCTTACTACCTTTCTGGGCCTTGAACGTGATAGTAACATTGCTGTCTATGCAGGACCAGAAAGCTCTCGGATTTCATCACGGCTTTGGAATGACATGAGTGTGATAGTAGTAAGAGTAATTAATGATAGTAGTAAGATAACATTTTATAAATAATGTAAATGCACTCGTGAAGTAAAGCTTGCTTTCCATAGGATTTTCATTCTTCCTGTAATTTCTATTAATGCATTTGGCATTTGCTTTTATCGGTTCTTGTATTCCCTGGGAATCAAACCCAAGTTGCAAGCACTATGCAGTAGCACTTGAGCTAAAGAAGAATTCAAATAATAATAATAATAATAAGTTGTTGTTGTTGTTATTATTATTATTATTATAAAGGATAATACAAAAACAACCTCTAAAGGATGAAGCAATAGCTGCATTGGAAAAAGTCCATAGAATTGCAGTTAAGTAGGATGTGTCCCTTTGATCAGCTCCACTCTATTAAGGATTACATCATGCTCCTGCACAATAGGCAGAGAAAAAGGGAAGACAGAGAAAGAAGTGGCGGAGATGATCAAAAGAGAGAAAATGGACACAATAAGTGAGGAAGAAAAATAAATAAATAGTACATCACCAAAAGAAGGTCCAAGCACAGAGCACAGAAAGGTGTGTGTGAAGCATGCTGGGAGTGCAGGGCCTCTGTGTTGAGTGTGGGAATTAAACAGAAGCAGAAACATCTGTAAAATTCTCTCACACTCAGCTCTGATAACTCCACAGGTCATTAACATGAACAGAGAGGCCCTGTCATTTTTTTCCCCCGCAAAAACTCCCCCTACAGTCAATATAACAAGAATTAAACCCTCCTTTCTGAGCCAACGTAATGGTGTGGAGAGATTACAAACCACGAGATGGCTGCAGTCTGAGCAGGGCAAAGCATGGTTATGGTTTGTTGACATGGAGAAAGAAAGGGATTTCCTGTTTGTGGTGAACCCTTTTTTAAGATTCATCTCGACCCATTTGACAACTTTGACACAGGAAATTCTGTCCTCATCACGCAGGCTTTTGTGTGTTAGACAATCTAATTTGAGAGACCTTCACACATCCTCACTCGTAGCGTCTTTCAGACAGGCTCTAAATTCTGCATTCAGAATTCATTTCCTTCAGCTACGTCTTGCATGAATACTAGTGTTTCCATTGGAACAAGCAGACACTCAAAACAGAACCTGATATTCTCAAAACACAACGAACATGAATTTTAAGCTAGTGAAGGCATCCAAAACAGCTCAAAAACATTATAATTTTAATTATTTTTTCCCCTCAAGTAATCCATGAAAGTCAAACTAGTATTAGATGCCAATAAGACTCCGCAATGCAAATTAGTTTGATCAAGATTATCAATATTCAACATAATATTAATCTAGTATGAAATTCTAGCTAGCTTTAATTACATATAATGAATGTCTATATCCCTCACTTAAAATTGTGATTTTGCCCTGTTTCACCTCAGAGGTTTTGACCTAAAAATTGATCTACACATTCAAAATAAATTACTTAAATTCATCATGATCCAAATAATATAAATATTTAGCCACACTATAGCTACTCTCCACCCTCTCAATTACCACAAAAGAGTTTTAACATGTCAAAGTCATGTAACAATCAGAACTCCCTTCCAGGGCCCCAAACTGCTCTCACAACATAAGCCAAACACACTGTCGGAGGGCCTACGCCGACCATCTCCTCTCCACATACTCCCAACAATGATCGGCAATTACTCACTCAAGCGCTAACAACTAGTTAGCAAAGGATAATGCAATTTCACGGTCTGAATAGTGACAAACAGCAGACATTGTGTCCGAAGTCTAATGCAGTAAACATACGTTGTCCTATAGCGAAGAGACAAACCCAAGTAATTATGGGGGTTTTCTTTAAAGAAAAAGAAAAAAACAATTACAAGTGATGCCTGTTGAGTCATTGAATGATGGATGAAAGCCAGACTGTTTATGCCAAAACACAGTATCCACCATTTTTGAGATACAAAGTCCCTTGTTAACCTAGTATAACATTGCTTAAAAGTATCATCTGATTCGAGATGCATGAATGCAATTTGAGATTCCTTCTAAAAAGAAAACAAAAAAGCAGCAAATGATGAAACGTTTGACATACAGCAGCTCCAGCTGAACTTTGGCTTAATAAGCAGTTCTAGAAACTGTAGTTTTAGCAACAAAGACTGAACCGTGAACTTTGTGTTACCCATAGTGCATGGCCATTTTCAGTTCATGTCACAACTGATTAGACTGACTGGAAGGAGATTCCTGTGCCTGTTCTGCTTATTTCCAAAACAGGCGAAGGTCCTTATAAAAGAAGCCACAAGCAAACCCTTTCCCGTCCAGTAACTTGCCACAATTCGTAAATAAATGGAGGCCCTTTAAGTAGAAAGGTTTGGCAGCAATGAGCATAAAACAGAATTCAATGAGTCTTCTTCACTATTCGAGTTTCCAAAGGTCTATAGATTGCTTACCGGCCACTGAAGTGCACTACAGGGGGGGGAAGGGGACTGATTTTGAGCTCCCTGTGTGTGTCCGTGAGGCTCACAACAGAATACTAATGGCTTTAGGCTGAGACACATGAGAGAAAAGATATGCAAAGAGACATTTAAACTTCCCTCAGCAGCACCATCTAAAACCATCAGGAAGAAACGGCTCCAACAACAGATAGAGCAGTTATGAATGAATCTATGAAGAGGCGTTGGAGTGTTTCCTCAGCTGTGTTC